CCCCCCCCTGACTCCCCCACACCTTTCTCCATTTAGGCTATCAATGAGGTGGCTTTGGGCAACCCCAGCGTCATGGTCCTGCCTCTAGGTAGGTGCCAGGGCAGGAAGGGGATGAAGGGGATGAAATCTCTTTGGATTTAATGGCATCTGTGGGTGGCTCTGGAAAACACTACGCAAGCAGGTAGGTCCCTCAGTTTGGCTGAGCCCAACCAGGTCACTGCCAGGACCGGGAGGATTCCCGGTGGCCAAGAGCTGCCTCCTGCAATGTTCTACAGCATCTTGACTGAGACACGGCCACCAGCTTGTCCCAAGCCCTCCTGTCCCCTTGCAGACATGACGGACCCCAACAGCATTAAGGCAGCAGTCAAGAAGGTGCAGGAGAAGGTGGGAAGCGCCGGCCTCAACCTCCTGATCAACAACACTGGCACCACACGCCACAGCACACTGGCCACTGAGACGGCAGAGAACATGACCCTTGTCTACACCAGCAACACCATTGGGCCCCTTCAGATGAGCCAGGCAAGGCCACAGGCACGCCCTGCCGCAAATGCTGAGAGTGGGGAAGAAGAGGATGGTGATGCCCAAGCACCCATCCCCTGCAGGCATTCCAGCCCTTGCTGAAGGAGGCAGCTGAGGCTGAAGGGCAGTGTGGGATGAGCTGCAGCAGAGCTGCCATCATCAACATCTCCAGCATTCTGGGCTCCATCGAGGCAGGGGAGGCTTGGGAAGAGAGGCAGGACATCTGCTACCGCTGCAGCAAGGTACTGCTGCTGGGGCAATGGGGACAAATTTGGGGGTCACTTCCTGCAGGATCCCCCCCCACCGGCCATGGCACTGCCAGCCCATAATGACGGTGGTGGGGTTGTTCCCCCCAGGCTGCTCTGAATATGCTCACTAAGTGCCTGGCCCTGGAGTATGGGGGCAGTGGGATCCTCTGTGTGTCCGTGGACCCCGGTTGTGTGACACCCCCCTTGGGACAGGGGACGGTGAGTGATGGAAGGTATATGGGTACCCTGGCTCAGCACAGTCCCATGGGCATCCCTTCCTGGGTCATCCCTTCCTGAGGCATCCCTTTCCGGGGCATCCCTTCCCAGAGCATCCCTTCCCACGTGCATCCCTTCCTATGTGCATCCATTCCCAAGTCATTCCTTCCAGAGGCATCCCTTCCCATGGGCATCCATTTCTAGGGAATCCCTTCCCATGTACATCCATTTCTAGGGAATCCCTTCCCATGTACATCGTCCCTTCCCAGGGCATCCCTTCCCATGGTCATCCCTTCCCAGGGCATCCCTTCCCACTGGCACCCCTTCCCGGGAGCACCCACCCCTGAACAGCCCCTCAGCTCCAGGGGAACTGTGCAACGGCAGCAAAAGGGCCAACTTCAGGCTCTTCCTCACAAACAATTCAGTTTCTTCCTTTTTTCACTTTATTTCCCAACCCAATCTGATGTCAGCAGAGGGCACCCCCGCACCGCGTGTGGGAGCAATGCACCCAGCACCCCCTGCACCTCCATCACCCAAAATTCCTCCTCCCCTCTGACCGTGCCAAGGAGAGGCTGGAGCCAAGCAGAGTTTAAGGAGGGAATGAATGAATCACTTTTTATCAGGAACCATAAGATTAACCCCCATCGTTTTAACACCCAAGTTATAAGGATGATTAATTTGTGCAAAGCTGCATCCCTTGGTTACTGGAGCATCTCCAGCCTTTCCCAACCTGCCCCAGGCGGAGCTGGTGTCCCACTGCACCGCGTGATGGGATTCGGGATGACGGGGGGGTAGGGGGGTGGGTTCATTTTTTACGCTGTGTCCTTGAGTCCACATGGCCCAGTGACAATGGAGGAGAGTGTGCAGGGCGTCCTGCGGCTGCTGGCACGTCTCTCAGCCACCAGCAATGGCACCTTCTGGGACTGGAGGGGACAGAGCCTGCCCTGGTGAGAGCAGCACCCAGTCCTGGTGGCCACTGAGCTCAATAAAGTGAATTAATTGCCATTTCCAGGCTTGCTCTCTATCTGTGGGGTGCGAACAGGGACCCTCTACTTAGGGGTGAGAGCTGGGGTTGCTGCACCTCCAGGGATGCAGAGCTGGACCAGGGAAGCAGAGGAAAGGATGCTCCAGGAGTGGTCCTGCACCCTAGTGCCAGGCTTTGCTGGGACATCCCTGGTACCAAAGGATCCCCTTGGGCATCTTCACACTGCAGCCCCATTGTGTAGCCATAAGCCACACTCATTGGTGGCCTAGGGACATCACAGACAGCCCCAAAACCACAGCCATGGGGCAGCCTTACAGGACCCTGGGTGTCTCCCTGCGGAGCCTGGCTCCCCCAAATCTGGTTGGCATTTCCATACCCACCCTGAGGATGCTGAGAGGCTTTATTTTCCTGCTGCTTCAAGGGCAGCAAAAGCTCTTCCTTCTCCAGAAGCTGTGGGTTTCACAGCAGGAGCATCTCCCATGTCCCTAGGGATGTCCTTTGGGACCTCACCCTGAGCTGACCCTCTCTGCATCCCTCTTATCTCACAGTACATCATGAGATACTGCAAACAGGCTCCGATGCCCCATGGTGTGAGTGCATTTCCATGATGGGTCTCACTTGACATATTTGAAGCCATCCCTCGAAAGAGGGATCAGAAAAATAATGTCACAACATCTCAAGTGGGCTGGACACGCAGGGCTTTGCCAAGCCTTGAGCCCAGCCATTTGCCATGGGGATGCTCTGGGAAGCCTGGCCAGGGTCATTTTTGATGGGGCAGCTTCAGTTTTCCCACACTGGAGGGGCCATTCCCATGCTTGATAGGAATGATCAGGAGGTGGGACCTCTGCCGCAAAGGCTTGGGATCCCTGGACCACCCAGGGGCTATTTGTTAAGGCCAGCAGGGCTGGGCGAGCCCTTTATCAAGCAGTGGATCATAGTCAGTAGGTTTTATATGAGCTCTGTGTGGGCTTTATATAAACATGAACCAGCACTAGGCATGAAGGGGAGGGATGAGGAGGAGGAGGAGGAAGACAGTGCATCTGCTCATGCTGCAGTGCCCACAGACTCATTTTCACACTCTCATAGACCTGCAAGCCTAAGCAGCCTGCAGCCAGGAATACACCAGTTAAGGGCTCTAATAGCTGATTAAGGTAATTAATGAAGCTGGTAAGGGAGAGGCAGTCAACCAGCCCTCAGCCCCTCCAGCGCACTGTCCACACTGCGCCGCCAAGCACAACAAACAAATCCAGATGTTTTTTTGCAGGGAAGTGGCTGGGGCTGACAGAGGCAGCTCAGCAGGCAGTGGCTGTGGAGGTCCCTGTGTTGGGGGAATATCTCATCTGCAAAGCCAAGGAGGGGTCTGACATCCCACAAGAGGAGGCAGCGGAGGCAGCTAGTGGTGTTGTTTGCTGGTCCTTTATTTTGGGTAAGATTGGAGGATCCCGGGACCTGGTTGGAAGCTGAGCTGCAACACTGGAGAATTAACTGGTGTTTAATGAAAGCTGAGGGAAAAATACAAATCGAGAGGAATAGGGTGATGTCCAACCCCTCCCAGCCCACACACCTGCAGAAGATGCCTGGCATTTTGGATGGTGTCAACACCATGGCTGTGGCTGCCCCACAGTCCTGGAAGGGGTGATATTTGTCCCCCCTTTTATCCTTCCTTGGGACCCCGAAAGAGGATCTGCTGGGGGGGCAGATCAGAAGCAGCATCCCAAGCTCTAGGGCAAGGAGAAGGCATCAAGCAAGGGGTCTTCTGCGGCATTAGGTGGACTCCCACCGACCTAGGCAGAGAGGACAGGCATCAAAACACGGGACAGGACCTCAATGCATGCCACCTCCATTCCCCAAGGTCTGTGTCTCCCCAGTCCCCACTTACAGGGTGCCTTGTAAAGCATCCGCATGACCTTGAGGCAGTTGTCCAGCAGTGCTTTGGGGCGCACAGCTTTCTTCCGGCTCTCCACACCCGTGCTGTGGATCAGCTTCACCAGATCAGCCACCACCACCTCCACGTCCGTCTGCAGGAACAGGCAACCGGGACATAACCATGGTCCCTGCCCAGGGACACCGGGGGTACAAAAGCTGTAACTGTTGCACTGGCTGGCAATCAAACCCAGCTCTCCCACGTGGCAGGCAAGAATTCTACCACTGAACCTACAACACCAGATGTAGATCATGCTCCAAGGCCTACACACAACCCCTCCAAACCCAGAACCAGTGGCTACAGCAGGGACAGGCAGGCACTGCTGTTGAGACACCCACTTCCACAGAGAGGGGAACCAGCACACAGCTCTGATGCTGTCAGTGCTCCAGCCATGGCACCATGTCTTCCTGCTGCCTCACACCAGCAAGGGGAGGTTGTCATTAGCCTTCAGAGTTAACATTCTGATGAGAGTAAAGTTCACTCACTTCTCAGAGGTGCTGCAGAACCTACCAAACAGTACAGGACAACACAGCCCCAAGCAGCCCCCATCACCCTGGGGCAGAGCCCCTCACCCCCACCAAACCAGGGAACCATCACTGCCCTGAGCCAGGGGCACCTGCTGCCACGATAACACCAAGCCCTGGACATTTCCCTGCCACAGGAGTCAGAAAGAGCTCTGTCAGCACTGTACACACACACAGGAGCACCAGGCAGTTGTCAGGGGTGCCCCTCAGTCCACTCGGGGTGCAACGCAGGGAAACCCCCGCGCACCCCCAAGGACCTCCCAAAGGGACACCCGGGGGTACAAAAGTCACAACCGTTGCATTGGCCGGGACTCGAACCCGGGCCTCCCGCGTGGCAGGCGAGAAC